CTCCTGCATTGACAGGCAGATTCTTTACCACTGAGCCACCTGGGAAGCCTAAGCAAGTATCACCTCCTCTGGGGAGCCTTCCCTGAAGTCCTCTGCTCCAGACCAGGTTAGATGCCTCCATGTGGGCTCTGTTGCAGCACTAATCACACTGGATTATAATGATCTTGGTAGACTGTGTGGGGGGGGGTGTTAAATCTATGTTTAATCAACTGGTCTGTTGGAGTCTGGATTTCTAACTGGGTCACATGGGTTCAAGCTCTGGTACTCACTAGCAGTATGACCTTGTGCAAGTTCCTGACCTTCCTCAGCCTCAGTGTCTCCCTCTCTAAAATGGCAGCAGAATACGTATCTACCTTACAGGGAAAAATTAACTGAGATCATTTACACAAAGCACTTAGCCTGGATTCACGCATAATGGCCATTGCTATTATTATTCCCAGCATCTGGCAGAATGCTTAGAAAATGTCAGGTGAAGGAGCAGCATCTCTGTGTGTGATGGGCACGTGTGTGTGGATGTGTGGTATATACTAGGGTGGTGGTATGAGGGGAGAACCAGCCTGTACAGGGACGCGGGTCCTGTATAGATGTGTGTGTCCACTCCAAAGGGTAATGGGCTGGTTATTTATGGTCATGCTTTAAGAAAAAAAAAAAAAAGACAAATCAGTGTTCAGTAATGACAAAGTAATTACCTTTTTATTATTTTTTCAATAAGATTCAGAGGGAGTGTGGGGCTTGGCCATGGCTGGAACATTCAGCCAGGCTTTGGGAATACCCCGATGCTTTGAGCTATCCCATTCCAACTGCCCCACCAGGGAAAAGGCTGGAGAGGGATGAGCAGTGCTCTTAAACATGGAAGGGCTTAGAAATTGAGAGGGCTGCCCAGCCTATAAAACAGGTGCTCCAGAGGTAGTTCTTCCACATTCTGGCTGAGTTGTCCACATAGAAGGGGCTGGATTCAGAGCCCAGAACATTTAACAGAGGACGTTTCAGGGTGGGAAACTGAGGTCCAGAGAGAGAAAGTCACTTACTCACCCATGACCACACAGCAAGTTAGGGGTAGGGTGGGAGCAGAGCCCAGGTCCTTTGACCCCAGGAAAATGCTCTTTACTACCACATGTCTCACTTGAAAATGGGGTTCTGCCTGGCCCTAGAGCTATGCTTCAAATTTCTACCTGAAAGGGCTCTGACTTGCTAGGTGATTTTTTCCCCCAGGGTCTTTCAGAGGATGCTTAGAGACATAATTTCAAGGCATTAGGACCCTGGATATTAACTAGACTATATTATGATACCCAGGTTCAATCCCTGGGTCAGGAAGATCCCCTGGAGAAGGGCATGGCAACCTACTCCAGTATTCTTGCTTGGACAATTCCATGGACAGAGGAGCCTGACAGGTTACAGTCCATGGGGTCAAAAAAGGATTGGACACAACTTAGTGACTAGCACAGTATGATGAGCATTATCTATCTACTGAGAGCTAATAGCCAGTGAAGGGACCAAATCAGTTCTGGCCTCTTATTTGTTCATCTGTCAATCCACTCATCCGTCCAATCATTTCATCCCTCCAAACTTCTGTCAATCTATCCAACCTTCCATCCACCCATTCAACTTTCCATCCATCCATCCATCCACTCATCCATCCATCCATCCAACTTTCCATGTATCTACTCATCCATCTATTCATCCATCTATCCATCCATCAACTCATCCATCCATCTGTTGATCCATCCATCCATTCACTCATCCACCCTTCCATCCATCCATCTCTTTATCCATCCATATATCCACTCATCCATCCACCTATCCAACCATCCACTCATCCATACATACATCCAACAAACCTCTGAATGAGTGCCCCCATGTACCAGGTGCCTTGCTAGAACCTGAGGGTCTAGAGATGCTGAGATGAATAAAACAAAATATTGGGAACAGCCCATGAAGAAAATTTTCATGGCAAAGGAGACTTCTCAAAGACACCCAGAGATAAGTGCAGGTAGATGAGATGACCTAACAGGGAGTCAAGCCCCTAGAGTTCAAAGTCCAGCCCTGTCACTAGCTTGCTGCAAGGTCTTGGATATGTCCCTTCTCTCTTTGTTTAACAATCGAGAGAGTCAGACTAGCTCAGAGGGCCGGTGGACACTGTGTAGGTAAGATTTCCTGAATGGGTAGCCTTTTGAGTGGGAGTTTGTAAAGCTCCAAGGGGCCAGGGGATGGGAGCTCCCTTGGTTTACAGTGACAGGATGAGGACAGAAGAAGCTGGAAGAATAAGAATGAGGAGATGAAGGATGGGGAGTCCGCCCCAGCTCCACTCCACTGTGTGGATCTTCAAAGCATTGATCTGCTTTTCTTAACCTGCTGTGGGTCACCGAGACCTGGATCTCTGATTCCAGGTAACTGACAAGGCCCCTGTCCCTTTGTCCTCCCTTCCCCACCTCTGAGCTCCTGTCTCCTGCAGCTGTGATAACCCACACGTAGCACTCTGCCCTCTGGAATTTATTTTAAGGTCTTAGCTTGTTTATTTATTTTATTTAGAGATTTCTCGGTGCTTTGTGGGGAGGAAAATTCGAATGGGGTGATTATGAAATACTATTTCACCTCGCTGTTCATTCACAACAAACAAAGAGAAATGATTGGTGATTAAAAATGCATTCTCTCTGCTTGTTTTCTTTTGTTTTACCATTATGGAAATATTATAAATACTGAATACTAATCTGGACCTGCAGGGACCTCACAGACCTTCCAGAAACCAAGGCGCCTGCTCTTCCCTGGGGCAACCTCACGCTTTCTCATCAGGCCCAAAACTATGGCTCAAACCATCCTGAGAGGGTCCTAGGCCAGAAGACCCATCACTGAGTCCTCACTGGACAGAGATAGAAGTTCCCTACTTCTTTGTCCTGTTCCTTACTTCAGCAGATCAAGTCAAGGAGAGCAGAGCTGTGAGTTGGAGGGCAAGTGTGCTCAGTTGCTCAAGAGTGTCCAACTCTTTGCAGCCCCATGGACTGTAGCCTGCCAGGCTCCTCTGTCCATGGGATTCTCCAGGCAAGAATACTGGAACGGGTTGCCATGCCCTCCTCCAGGGAATATTCCCCACCCAGGGATCAAACCCGTGTCTCCTGCATTGGCAGGCAAATTCTTTTCCACTGAGCCGCCTGGGAAGCCTGTGAATATGGAGCACACTTGATTAATCCAAAAGTCACGATCACAGAGCTTAACTCCCAGGATGGGGCTGCCTGTGCCTCTCTGCTCTGCTGTTTCTTGGCTGTGTGACCTTGAGCACATAGCTTTGCTTCTCTGAGCTTCTGGTTTTTTACTCTGTAAGATGGGGATGAAAATGGTACCTACCTCATAGGGTCTCTTTGAGGATTAAATGGGATCATAACAGCTCAGATGGTAAAGAGTCTACCTGCAAAGCAGGAAACCCAAGTTAGATCCCTGAGTCAGTAACATCCCCTGGAGGAGGAAACGGCAACCCACTCCAGTATTTTTTCCTGAGAAATTCCATGGGCAGAGGAGCCTGGTGGGCTACAGTCCACGGAGTTGCAAGAGTTGGACAGGACATAGCCACTAAACCATCAGCCACTACCACCATAACATCTTATCACAGGGCCTGGCAAACAGAAGTGCTCCATAAATGTTGGCTCCTATACCGATGAATATACCAAACTCCGGGAGATGGTGAAGGAGAGGGAAGCCTGGCGTGCTGCAGTCCATAGGGTCACAAAGAGTCAGACATGTCTTAGCGACTGAACAACAATACTGATTAATACTCTCTCTTCTTCCACGTTTCAGTTTCTCCCTCTGGAAGGTGAGAGAGGTACACTAGCCGCCCTCTAAGCTCCCTCCAGCTTTGATGGGGGACACTTCTGTGTGCAGGACGGGGTACCCTGGGGACAATCCTCACCCACCTTGACTCTCTCAAAGACCTTGGCCCCTTCCTGGAATGCTGGAAGGCCTGGGGCCTTCTGTCAGAGTCTGCTTTCCATGGGCTCTTTTTGAGCCATAAACCAGGCACTTCCCCATTTATTTCAATCACAAACAAATAAATAGGAGTCAGAGGGCCCACTCCAATTCCAAAGTCTTACTCCAAGTCCAGATAAACAGTGAGGTTTGTGGCGTCTGCGTTCCTTTTATCTTTCACTTTATTTAACCAAATTAACTGCTCTCCATGTCCCCTGCGTGTGAGTGTCTCTCTCTGTCATATAAAATACAATCACGCTTGCTTGCTACATGTTTCAGATACTTTATCATTAACATCAATTCCAGCCAAATTAGGAGTTTCTCCCAACATAATTGCCCTTCCCATTATCCAGCACTTTATTTTTTCAAAGCACTTTCCGACCATTAATTAGTTAACCCTTAGGACGCCCCAGAGCCGGCGCTCAATGTCACCCTCCCTGTCTCCCAGCTGGGAAGGGGGATGTGGGGAGGGGTCAGGTGGTTTGTTAGAAGTCACACTGGATATGGGGGCTGAAGGCTACAGTAGGACCTTGGTAACTTCCTTCCAGCCTCAGACCCTTTGTCTGGGCCGGATCCAAGCCTGGGGTGATGGGGCAGGGGGCAGGGGTGGTCCCCAACACTTTTAAATCCACTCATTCCCGATCTCCTTAGCTCACCAAAGGAAAGAGGAAACAAAATAAAAGATCAGCTGGGTGGTGGCACCTTCTTTGCTGTGGGAAAACAGGGTGGAGGGAAGGGGAAAAAACCCCCAAGGGACAAGAGACAAGCAAATGCTATGGCTATGACCCAAACCATTGACTTGCTCCCACCACCAACAAGCAGCATTGAATGTCTGAAAGTGAAAGCTATGTCCAACTCTTTGAAACCCCATGGACTATAGCCTTCCAGGTTCCTCTGACCATGGAATTCTCCAGGCCAGAATACTGGAGGGGGTAGCCATTCCCTTCTCCAGGGCATTTTCCCAACCCAGGAATCGAACCCAGGTCTCCCTCATTGCAGGTGGATTCTTAACCAACTGAGCCACCAGTACTAGCATGTGCCAAAGTAGCAGCCTTACCACCATAATGTCTGTAAGTAAATGAAGTGCTTTTGGTATATAGTTATAACTACTGACAACCAAAGTAAGGGAAGACGTGGGAGTTGATCATTTGGGCTGTCTCTCATTCCAGCTACCGAATGGGGCTCAGTTCCCTCCGTAATCCTGCCAATACTCCATCCTTTTCTGGTGAGGTGCAGTCATAGTCTTGGTTGGTCCCAAGCTAGATGAGCAACTGGAAACTTTGGAGCAGACATCCTAGATGGATTAAGGTGGGAGCCATCTGGGGGAAAACAGAGTGATTTATTTCTTGGACAGGGTTCTGGCTCGTCAAGATGAACTCTGCTTGCAGCTGCTAAGGATATACTGTCGAACCACCAATATTTTACATTTACAGCCTCTCCATAGTCCTAAGTTCCTTAATGATTTTTTTTTTCCTTAAAATACATGAGCTGGCTCCCACAGGGACATTGCCAGGAACCTTCAGAGAGGTTTTCCAAGCTATCGTTAACTCAGAGCACAGTGCATTCCACAAGCTCTTCTATTTCAGCCCCTCTTCTTCCCCCCAGTTGCCTTGAGGTTGGGGCCACATGTGCTAAAGCAGCTTTGCTTGTTGGAGACCAGCTACCAGTCTGGGAATTTCCCCTGTCCATTCCCTACGCATCCCAGCCCACCATGCTCTATGAAGTCAGAGTGCAGGGAGCTTTGGCCACCGGAAGAATAGGCTCATCCAGGGAGCAAAGCTCACACTGACCATTCACTGTCTGCAGTCATACATCCTGGAGTCTGAATCACAACTCTGCCACTTGCTAGCCAGTTTGACCTTGGGCAAGGTGACCTCTCTAAGCCTCAGCATTTCAATTATCGCGTGTTATTGCGAGAATCAACTGAGATAACATAGGTGAAGGTCTTAGCACAGTTCCCGGCTCATAGTGGGTGCTCGTTGGACGTGAGCTCTCATTTTGGTCACGGAGCAGATTGTAGGCTTTAGTGTGACTTTCATTCTTTCAACCTCCTGCCCCTTATTGTCTCTATCTAGTTTCTTTCAGGCTCTGCGTCTGAATATATAAGTAAGGCGATGTGATTAGACCATACCCTAGTTCTCAAGCTCTTCCTTTTGTGGAAGAGAATAGGCGTGGAAAGAGACTGAGACCTGGTTGGTCCCAAGCCTCCCATCTGCCGTCCCCGAAGTGCTACCTTCTGCACGGCCCTCGTGCTTTAAGTCTGGCTCCGTTGCCGGTTGTCGTAAGCAGCACCAGGGCAGGACGATGTCTAGTCCGTCCAGGGCTGCATCGTGGATCCTATCCAGGTACCTGGCCTATGGCTGCCACACCACAGAGACCAGTGAATACCTGAATTGGCCATTCTTCCTTCCAGACTAGGATTTTATTTTCCATCTCTTTTAAACTTCTGGAGCTCTACGCAATAGTAGGTAATAGCTCCAGACAAAAGCCTTGGAGCACTCTTTCCTTGCTGCCCCTGCTTGTCCAGCTTTCCTAAAAAGGAAGATCCTACTCAGTCTCCCCTAAGCAACTATTTTCCTGTAATCATGCATGCGTTTGTTCACATACTCACTCAGCAAGCGTTTGCTGATTGTCAAGTGTAGCTAACCTGGGTTGGAATCTTGACTAGCTGGGAGAACTTAGACAAATGACTTAACCCAGTTGATCCTCAGATTCCTCATCTGTAAGAGGGGCTAAGAATGCTCAGCCTGTTGTGAGGAGTTGATAAGACTTAAGGAATGCCTTGCACTTAGCATGGTTCCTGGCACTTAGTAGGCCCTGCATAAATGGTGTCTATTTTTATTGCAGGTAGAACTCAGTGTTAGAACCCTAAAAGGTGCAGCTGAATTTGAGTCTCTGTAAAACTTTCTGTAATGAAAAAAAAATCTTCTGTAGAATCATTAGTCCATTTTGGTGCCTAAACAATGCAATCCCTGACGTTTTATGACATGTTGTCAATTCACAGAGTGCTCAGCTGGAGATGCTGTCTCTTGCAGGATTGATACCCTCATTTCACGTGAGAAAATTAAAACTCAGAGAGGTTGTGTGGCTTTCTTCAGGTCACAGAGCAGAGGCATGTGGCTAATCCAAGAGCATCAGACTCAATTTCCAGCACTTTCCTCTACCATTCCCCTCCCCTGTCTCACCCTCCTCCACTCCTTCCTCCCCACCTCTTGATGATAACTTTTACTTACAACAGATGTGGCCTTCTCCAGCACCCTTGACTGGTCACCTGGCACTCTACGAGGCTGAGACGCCCCATGCAGTTTCACTGTTAGAGGGGGGCTTACACTAGAGACCCCACAGGTGCTACTTCTGTGACAGCAACAGTGGAAATCACCCATTTCTGTGACCCAGCTTTTCCAGGTGATGCTGACAGAGTGTAAACAGGTCAAATGTGTTAGAAAAAGAAGGATCAGATTTGGTCTTGAAGAACCTACCTGCCAAAGCAGGAGATGTAAGAGAAATGGGTTCGATCTCTGGGTTGGGATGATCCCCTGGAGGAGGGCACGGCAACCCACTCCAGCATTCTCACCTGGAGAATCCCGTGGACAGAGGAGCCTGGCAGGCTATAGTCCATAGGGTCACAAAGAGTCAGACATGACTGAAGCAACTTAGCAGGTACCCAGCCTGTGGCTCTCCTTTCAAGGACCCATTCAGACCCTCACCCAGTGTCCCTGAGTCTGGGCACTGAATAGGCAGCCCCTCATTCAGGTACAACCCGGGCAGCCCAGGGATGGAAACTTCTTTCCAGCTGGGTCCTCTGAGGGATACTGGGCCATGAGCCAGGGTGAGAGGGCCATCCTATCTGCCCTGCAGCCCCTAGTTCAGTTCAGCTGGAACTGCTGCTCCTCCTCCCTCACTAATAGCCAGAGGTCAATGGGGCTCAGCCTTTGACTTTCAGCATCTCATTGAACCTCATAGACAGAGGCTGTCATCATTCCCATGTCATGGATGGTCAGACTAAGACTTAGAGAGGTGGCAATTCTTAGCTCTGTGCTCCCAGCACCTGGGCTTGTGCCCAGCAGGTACATGGTAGATGCTTGATAAATGCTTGTGAGATAAATAGAAACATGACCAAGAGAGTGAATAAATGAAAGAAAGCAGCTCCTATTAATCAGTGGGAGGAGGAGGGGGAGGTACCACGTGCCAGCCACATTCTCGAAAATTTCAGTTAGCTGTTTACTCTCTGCGGCAATCCAATGGGTAGATACCATCTTCATCACCTTTATACATGCAAACCAAGACTCAAGGAGATTAAGTCAATCCCTCATGGGCACACACATAGCAGGTGGGGGCAGCTAGGAAATGAACGCAGGTAGTGGGGCTGCAGGACCTGTGTGTGTTACCCCTCTATGCCATGGAGGATAAGCAAATGGTGATGGGTGGGGAAGGAGGGGATGAGGGGCGTCCAGGAGCTCTGCCCCCATGGGCATCCTTCTGCCTCTGCACCACCAGTGTTTCCAGCAAACATCCAAGTGGGGGGAAGCATTTTCTCTAAGTCCTGACCGCCCTCCCCGGCACATTCCCACCGTTACCTACACAGGGAATTAAGACTCAAATCCTCGTTTGACACGATGCAGGAGGATGCTAAGTACTTAAGCGCTAATTAATTAGTGAGCTGTACCCGCCGCCACCAGCCACTGGAGGAAACCTCAAACAGACCCCCAGAGCGTCAGTGCCCTCCCCGCCACAGAGGCTGGAGTCTGAAGCACCACCAGCCAAGCAAAGGGGGCAAGCAGAGAGGAGGGGGCTGCCCGGGAAGCCCCAGGCCCAGCCTCTGGTGAGAACAGAGTCCAGACCAGCTCTGACCCCTGCCTTCTAGGCCTCAGAAACCAGTGGGGGCTGGAGTTCTGGGACCCTGCCTTGCCCGGGGCTCTGGAAGAGACTCTCAGCCTGGGTTTGTCCAATGAGGCCACAGGCTCTCAAGACAAGGCCGGATTCCAGAGGCTGCACTGACCTCCCATAGTTTCTGGACAGTTTCTGGAGCCCTTTGTTGGGGGCAACACAGTGACTGAAACCGCCCACCCTGGCTGGGCACCATAGTAACTATTTGCATGAGTTTTTTTATGACAAGAGGTCTTAGTAATGAACACAGAACTAATAAGCCACCACCAACTGGGAGAGTTTGTGAAAGATCAAAAGGAGATTTCACGTGTCCGGCCATCTCCCCAAATCCTCCTCGCTGGGATCCATCTTGGCTGAGCAAGGCATGTACCACCAGGAAGGATCCTGAGTCAGAATGATTGGCCAAAGAAAACCCAGAAAATTATCCATCACCATAAAACCCAAGACTTTGAGCCGCGTGGCAGAGCAGTCTTCCTGGTTTCCCCTACCCTCCTTATCTCAGCCCTGGGCATTGGGATCTTCCCAGTAAAGTCTCTTGCTTTGTCACACACATGTTTCTTTGGACAATTCATTTCCGAGTGTCAGACAAGAGTCCCCTTTCAGGCCCTGGAAGGGTCCCCCTTCCTGCAACACCTTAAGGCCAGACGGAAGCATCTTATTACCCCCAGTCAACTGGGATGCGTTTCTCAGAGGCTAGACCAAGGGGCAATGGGGCCTCCCGGTACTGATGGGCAGGAGTGTCCTAAAGCCAGCTTCACTGAAGGGGCACCAGCTTGGAGTTGAGCTCTTCCCACTCTCTTGACCTTGGTCTTACCATCTGTTGCTGGCCAAGGTCAATCTCCCTCACAGGGCAGAGGGTAACTGGAATCTAGGCCTTTGGAGTCAGGCTGGGTTTGACTTTTTTTTCTCCCATTTCCCAGCTACGTGCATGACCTCAATGCAAGTCACTTTCTGAGCTTCAGTTTTCTTAGTTGTATAATGGGACTCACAGATCTGTTCGTGAGGGTACGTGAGGTGATACATGTCAAACGTCTTATGTGGGGTGCCAGGCACATAGTAATCACTCAATAAATGGTGGGAGTCATAATAGTGGATGTTATCATTATAATCATCTAAGGAATCTTCACACTTGACTCTCAATTCTTTGACCCTATAGGGTGACCAACCATCCTGGTTCACTCAAGGGTTTGGTGCTATGTGTGTCTGTTAAGTTGTTCAGTCATGTCCGACTCTTTGCAACACCATGGATTGTAGCCCGCCAGGCTCCTCTGTCCATGGGCATTCTCCAGGCAAGAATACTGGAGTGGGTTGCCATGCCCTCCTCCAGGGGATCTTCCCAACCCAGGGATCGAACCCAGGTCTCCATCATTGCAGCCAGGTTCTTTACCATCTGGGCCACCAGGGAAGCCAGTTCATTGAGACTATCCCAATTTTAGCACTGAAAGTTTCCTGTCACAAGAAACCTTACAGTCCAGAGCAAACAGGGATAGTCAGCCAAAACCCCTGTGCCCTAAAGAGGATGGAGGGGGAGGGGAGACACAGCAGTGCTGGACAGAAGTGTTCTCCACAATGCCTTCTCTCTAGTCAGGACTCCCTGGGAACCCAGACCCTGAAGCTCCCTCCTCCAAGGTGGCTAGACTCAGGAAGGGCCACAAGTGGCCCCTGGAGTCTAGGACAGAATCTGTGGGTGGCAGGGCCCTGGGGCTGTAGCTCTGATAATATTCCAGCCTGTGTCAGCTCTGGGGCCCGCCTCCTGCAATATTTGCTTAACAATCAGCCCACAAACGGCATTGTTCAGGACAAAAATGAAAAACATTGGGCTGGGACTTGTTGTTTTTTCTTTGGCATCCAAATTCCTCTGGGCCCTTGGGAGGGGAGACAGTATCTCGGCACCGCCACCTCGAGGCCAGGAAGAACTCAGAGTTGGGACATTGGACACCGGGCTTCTGTTCCCACTTCTACCCCATGGGACTTGGAGCGTAATTCCTCAGTTTCTCCAGGTGCCCAAGAGAGGCAACTTTGCACTGGGAGTTGAATGAGGCAGGAAAATATTTGGTTGGGCTAAAATAGCTATCACCTTAAGTGTTTTATTGAGCCCCCCCCAGCTCTCCAGAAAAGTCTCATCCCCATTTTACAGATGAGGAAGTTGAGGCTCAGAGTACTCACCTGAAACAACATCAAAACCAAAGTCAATCAGAGGAGGTGAGAGAGGAAATTTTGATTTGGCATCTCAGGGGAGCCAGATACTTCTCAGAAATGGACTTTCTCTTCAAATGTTTGTTTGCTTGTTAAACACCTTTTTCAAGGACAGAGGAAGTGAGCTGGAGAAATGAGGGCAGGGGGACTTTGCCCCTTTCTCCAGAACTCTTGAGCCCTCAGAGAGTCTGGCCACCCTTGTCCGAGTACCAGCTTTACCCCAGTCCCACCCAGGAAGAGCCCAGCCTGGCAAGGACTCTCTGCCCAGCCCCACCAGGGTAGCCCCCCAGAGGGGGGCACAGGAGGGGGAGGGCAGGAGGAGGGCCTGGCTCACCTGCCAAGGCTGGCAGCTTGGCATGCAGATGGGCGTGGGGTGGAGACTGAATGTGCCCTGGGAGAGGTGTCGGCAGCCATCAGAGGCCTGGCAGGGCCAGGGCCGGTGCTCCTCAAGCCCCTTCTGTGTTCCAGGCACTTTAAATGCACCACCTCCTGTGTTCTCACAGCAACTCCTTAAAGTCTACTTGTCCACATTCTCAGATTCTAGGAAGAGAAGGAAGGAAATTGAGGCTCAGAGAGGGGGTTCACTGGCTCACGGTCACTTAAAAGCAGACTCGAACCCTGTCCTGACTCTCAACTTGGCATAACCAGGGTTGGCCCTCCAACATTAAGAGATGGTTCTGGGGTCAGGCCTCTCAGATTCAAATCTTTACTCTCTATCTCACAGCTGCCATATAAATGATGTCATTGGCCTGTGCCTCTGTTTCTCCATCTGTAAGATGGGGCAATAACACAACCTCCTCCTGGATTATCATGAGGGCCCAGTGAAATAATGCTGGGCACCGAGGAGGTGCTTGACAGAGGGTGGCCATTGCTGTCACTGCCTGTAGTTAGAGTAATAATTGTATTACTTTGTGACCTAGGCAGCCTCTTTGAAAGCAGCAAGGCTGGCAGGGGTCCCCCCAGGACTGGGGGCTCTGTGGGTTCAGGATCCTGTATCAAACTTCAGCCTGGTCCTCCAGCTGCTCCCCAGCCCCTGCTGCTCAGAAGGACTCTTTTCAGCCTCAGCCCCCAGTACTGGACCATTCTAAATGCCCTGGTCTTGCCAGGGCCACTCAAGACTGTCTGCCTGTGACCTGAACAAGTGACTCCCAGTGGGCCCCTGCCCACCAAGGTGCTCCACCTTTGCCTGCTCCATGGTGGGGAGGGGCCTCCCTGGCCTGAGACCTCCTCGGCCCTGGATTCTCACCCCAACTTGCTCTCAAACTCAGGTAAGATTCTTCCCAGCTCTGGGCCTCAGTGCTCCCATCTTGCATCTGAAGGCAAGACTGAATGAGCCCCAAAGGACCCCAAAGGTTGAGACCTGGGACCCCCAGACTCTCTGAGCTAAGGAAGGAGGAACAGTAAATCCGGACTTCCTCAGGCTCTCCTGTAATTCTGCAACTGCCTCCTGAAAGGACACGGGGCCCCAGGCTGGCCCTGCCCACCTGCTGTCACATGGCAGTGGATTTGAGGCCATCAAAGGTCCCAGTTCCTCCCCGTCACTCCCGAGGTCCTGCTGGTGTGACCCTGCCACCCTCTCCCCCTCCTCTTTGGCTCCCCCTGCCCGGACACATGGCTTTCTGCTTTCCCGCCAAAGCACCCTGTGGTCTTGGCCCTGGCCTTTGCTCATGGCATGGCATTTTCACGGGACCAGGCTTTTCTTGACTGTCCCTGCCCCTACTGATTTGTTGTCACGTTTCCTGGCCACCTGCCCTAGTCTTGGTCACATGACCCTCCTCCAAGCTCCCAGAAACCCTTGTTTTTCCTGAGTGTAAGACCGCCTGGTCCCTGCCCTCATGTAGCTCAGCCTCCAAGGGAGGAAATGAGGGAAACCCACAAGCTCATTCATTCATTCATTCATTCAATTCATTCTTCATCCAACCAGTATTTATTGGGCATCTCTATGGGCTGCTACCCATGGACGGTAGCCTGAGCCTGAGGTGCCTGCACCCCTGGAGACCAGAGACCTGAGGTCTTGGGGGGCACAGGTAGGGGGTTCATACTATTTAGCAAAGTGCTACAGGAATGTGTGATGTGATCTATACCCTCACAGGCTTGTGCGCACTCCCAGGGCCAGGACCATGTGTTAATAATTTTTTCTCTTCTTCCACTCCGTCAAGTTCAGCACAGAGCTTGGCACATCGTAGAGGCTCTGTCAGCGTAGGCCGAAGAGAACTGTTGGGTGCTGTGTGTTCTACATTAGGGTTTTGTGAGTTCCAGGTGGGAAAGGAAGATTACTGTGAGCTATAGCAGTCAGAGAGGACTTCCTGGAGGAGGTGTCAGGAGCAGGGCCTTGAGGACAGTAGAGGCTCAAAAGTTGGCAGAGAGGAGGGCAGATATTTTGCAGGCATGGTAGGGGCTAGGATAGAGGTGGGAGGAACAGGGCTGTGGAGTTGAAAGCAAGGTGGGGGCAGATGGGGCATCTGCATAAACACAGACAGTCCTGTCTGTGAATTTCATTTGGGAAAGATCCAGACTGCCCATCTGACCACCACCATGCCTGGGACCCCCTAAGTTTTGCTCTGGCTTGCGGTGACTGGGAGCCCCAGTTCTTGTGCACAGGGCAACCAATGCCTGTTTGTCAAAGACAGGGGTGCCCTGCCCCCAGCCCCAGAACATGGGGCGTGCCCTGGGCAGGGCTTGCCCAGGCCTGGCATTCAGACTGCACCCTCCGCCCTGGGACGTCCTGTACCAAGGAGGGCCTATTAAAGGGACAAAGGTCCTCATGGGGTGCAGGCACCCCAGCTCAGCCCTGGCAGCTGGCCCAGGCTTGGGCTGCCGCAGGAACCCCAACTCTCAGCCCTGCCAGCTCAGACCTCAGGGAAGAGATGGAGAAGCAGGGTCCTGGGTCTCCCTTCCTTGGAGCAGGACCCCCAAGTTATGTGAGGACAGGACTCAGCTACGGCAGGTGCTTCCCACTTGGCAGGGCACAGGCGGGAGGCGGGAGACAAGGCACTCGATAGCATGGACCCTGGAGTCCAGCAGTCTTGAATTCAAAACATTTTTAATATCATTTTATTATGTAGGTATTCCTTAAAATCATGTTGGGCTTCTCTGGTGGATCAGGGGTAATTAGCCTGCCAGTGCAGGAGACGTAAGAGATACTGAGTTGATCTTTGGGTGGAGAAGATCCCCTGGAGCAGGAAATAGCAGCCCACTCTAGTATTCTTGCCTGGGAAATCCCATGGACAGAGGAGCCTGGCGGGCTACAGTCCATGGGGTCTCAAAAGAGTTGGACATCACTTAATGACTAAACAATAACAATAAAAGCATATTGTTTTTCTTTTAATTTAATTTTTTTGGCCATACCAAGTAGCATGTGAGATCTTAGCTCCCCAACCAGGGATTGAACTCAAGTCGCTACAGTGAAAGTGCAGGACCTTAACCACTGGACCACTGGGGAAGTCCCTTAAATTTGAATCTTAACTCAGCCCCTACCCACTATGTGAGCTTGGGCAAGCAACTTGACCTCTCTGAGCTTCAGTCTGCTCATCGCTGAGTGAAACAGGGTTAAGGGCAGCATATATTATTCATGATTCCTTAAGAAAATGCCTGAAAACACTACCAAAGGACCTATTAAGGCACAAAGTCGGTGCCCAAAAGGGATAACTGTTGCGTGTTGTGCTGTGAAGAGGATGGACAGATGGATAGCGCAGGTTGGTCATAGGCCCTTCCTGCAGTTCCTGGCAAAAAGGAAGCAGCTTTGAGATTCTTGGGGAGAGGAGAGGTTGTAATCTCTCTCCAGAGCTTCCCCAGGGAGTCAGCCAGGGGTGAGAGTGATCCAGGGGCCCCGGAGACGCTCCATGGTGCAGGGGCTGCATAGAGCGCTCCTCAGGTCAGCACGAGACCCAGGCTCCCTATCGCTGCATCAGGGCGTGGGGGCAATCAGCTGTTAGAAAGTGGACCCGGGTTTTATTATTGCTGAATGTTATCATCCTTGATAAGAACCAGATTAAAAGGAGGGAGGGGGAGGCACAGGTGGGGATGAAGGGGTGGGGGAGAAGCAAAGGGCAGTGCCGGTCATGCTGATCAAGCCCTCAGCTGCTCTTGGGGCCCTGGTTGAAGTCTGTCCAGGACCCCACAAGCCAGGCCCCTTCCTGGGGGTGGGGGTGAGGGGCCTGGCAGAGATGGGAGAGGAGCTGCAGGCACCTGCCTGGTGGAGCGAGGGGTGGGAACTCTGTGAGCTGAGGGCTCCCGCAAGAGGACACAGTCCCCCAGCTGGTCCTCTTGGTGGCCAGCTGTCACCAGGGGCTGCCTGCTGAAGTGACCAAAGTGAGGAACACATCTGAGTGTGAGTCCAGCTCTGCCACTTACAAGGCAGGTGACCCTGGGCCAGTGATTTCAGCCCTCCAGCCTTGCTTTTCCGGTCTGTGGTGCTGATTGCTCTGCCTCCTCCAAGGTTCAGAATTCCAGGAGGTGAAGGAGGCAGAGGGCCTGCCACACTGAATCACTCTTCCCTCCCTCTGCCAAGTTCTTTGAAACTATCACTATTGTGCCTGCCTTATCCCTGGTCCTTCTACCTCCTGCCATCACAGGGACTTGGCCCTGGGACCTGCTGACCCTCTGCCCAGTTCTCCCCAAAGCTTCCAGGCCCTTCACCTCCATGAGAAGCATGCAAGGCCTATAGTCCCATTTTACAGATGGGAAAGTCAAGTCTAGAGTGGAATAGTGGCCTGCCCAAGACTGGATTTGGAATCAGAGAGTCCCGGCTTTCTTAGGGCACTTCCACCTTCTTGGCCAGCATCCTTGGTCCTGTGATACCTAGCAGGGGTGGGGGCTTGGCCTAGAAGGGTTTCAGAGTGCTGGGGTGTCAGGTTAGTGTGGCTGCAGGGCCCCCAGCCCCCGATGTATCTCTGCCCAGGGCCAGGACTCCCCACGACGGGCCCCACAGGCATTCCTTGCCATCAGGGAAGGCTATAAAAAGCAACACTTTTCAGCCCCAGAGTGTGACCTGTGCGACTTCACAGAATCCAGAGAAAAACAAGAGATAACCTTGGGAAGGCCTGACCTTCAGGCGGGGCACAAGAGAGAAGGGGGTACCTCCAGGCTGTAGCTTGGCTTGAGTTTGAGATGGGGCATGGAGCATGGTACAAAACGAAAAACAGAACTTCTAGGTGGTAACTGGAATTGTTATTTAGTAGTTATTATTAATCATTAATTTATTTTTAAGTCATTTTTATTTTTCTGTTTCTAGTTTTTGTTCATCTTGTTTCTTTTATTCTTTATCATTAAAAAAAAATTTATTTTTGCTGTCTCAAGTGGCATGTGGGATCTTAGTTGCCTGACCAGGGACTGAAGCTGGGTCCCCTACAGTGGAAGCACAAAGCTGGACAACCAGGGAAGTCCCTTAATTATTAATTTAATTGTGCATGCATGTGTGCGTGCTCAGCTGTGTCCAACTCTTTGTGACCCCATGGACTGTAGTCCTCCGTGCTCCTCTGTCCGTGGGATTTCCCAGGCAAGAATACAGGAATGGGTTGCCGTTTCCTTCTCCAGGGGATCTTCCTGACCCAGGGATTGAATCCGAGTCTCCTGTGTCCCCTGCATTGGCAGGTGGATTCTTTACCACTGAGACACCTAGGAAGCCCAATTTAATTTTAAGCTAATGTTATTAGAGCCACTGAATATTCAGTGGTCATAGGCTGGCTCTGTGCATTGAGCCCCTTGTCCTCCCAAGTCCCAGTGAGGTAGCTCTTTTTTTTAATCCCATTTGACAGACCAGGGAACTGAGACTCAGAGAGGACCAATAGCTTGTGCAAGGTCACAGTCAG